TACGCAAACGTCGCCTTTCACGCATTGTCGCTGCTTTCCTTCGATCTACTGCAAACACTTCGCAATTCACAAGTTTAACTTGTACGTATAGCAAGCCAGTCAACGAACAAGTAGTCAACAAGTCTTTCGAAAAATCCTACAGAAAACTCTCCGAGCCACCGTTGCAGCCATGCCAGACCCCTTCACTGCAACCTGCAAGTCCTTATTTTCTACATACCGCTTTTACCGATGACGAACATTGTTCCTTTCTCTTCGGTACTGACAGACGACATTTACGCACAACATCCTCACGAGCAGAAACTCCCCCTCCTTCCCCTCTTACCCCGCATAAATGTATTTACTGCCGGTGATAATCGACACATTCTCACATGACATGAATCTGAAAGGGGGGTTCAATTGTTGCATGATTTTAGAACGGAAATCCCTTTTAAAGGTGTTCCTGTCGTGGAAATCGGTGACTGGAAATTTTTTCCAAAGGCGAAACGAGGTCAGGACTGCCATTAAGCGGGATAGCATAGTCAGAGTAATAGAAGATGTTCCAGCTATGTAGCTGGAAAACCGATTTATGAATTAACAACCTCTCCAGGTGCTTAAAGCACGATTTTGGAAAATACTTTGAGCATACTTCATTCCATGGTTGTACCGGTTGCAGTCCGCTTGCTGACCTACTTTTACGTTGTGGCTTGCGCTTTCGGACGTGGTACTATTCTAAGTGATCAAACATATGTGATGCAAAAACTGCTCTATTCTGATTAGTATGTTACGCCCTTATCTTAATTTACAGTTTATTTATCAGTCTTGGTGCGACTCAATTCTACTTACCAGTTTTTTCGGCAGAACGGATGTGATAGAAAGTTATGTAGCTATGGTAAGATTAGTGAATGACGAACTGCATGTCGCCAAGAAGACAGAGTGCCAAAATTATACGGAGAGCCCTTTTGGGATCCGATGCTAGTTCATACATGCAATGGAACAAAACTTGATTTATGATAAAAAACAGTGTAATTTAAGCCATTTTTTTAGCCGTTATTTGCAGTATTTGCTTTACTATCAGGTTACCTTCACTTTTTTAAAGTGCCTCAATTTTAGAAACCATACATCTTCGTGGCAGCTGTGAGGGTTCGGTTTGCGGTTGGACGACACTCGCTGTTGTAGCCGCATCGGCGTTACTCTGAAGCAATTCGGTGTGTGGCTCGGGGATATCGCCGCTCGATCGGCCTGCTGTCGAGATCAGTTCCACTGCTAAAAAATAATCCGTCAGACTATCAAAGATTAAACAGTATCAGATGTTGGATTTGTAAATAGCAATAAATCGTCGCTTTCTGACTGGCTTTAAGTAATTGGAACATGCGGGCATTTGGAAAATAAGTAAAAATGATTTTTGTGGTAAAAAATCATACAGTAACTGACCGTTTGCCGTAATGGCTTAGATCATTGACTTAAGCTGTCAAAATAATATAATAAAAGTGTTAAAATTCTATGAACTTGTTTTAAAAAAGAAAGAATTCATTTTATGATTCCAAAAAAGAGGAAGAAACTGACGCCGTCTGAGAGATGGAAAGCCTAAGATTCTGAGAAAGCAAGGTTTTTTATTTTATAACTGCATTCGAGGATTC